GCTTATAGTTTTTGTATGAAGATATTTTTGTAATAGGATTATCAGTGATATGTTCATTTTTATGAATGAAAAGTTGAAAAATATTAAAGGTTTTAATTTTTTGTTTTGGTTTTTTATAAAATTTATGCTTTAATCTCTTTAATATTTTAATGTTATTTCTGTTCACCTTTTAAGAATTTTTAATCTTAAAGTTAAGTGTATAATTTTAATTGTTTTAATCTCTTATTTATTGTTTCTTTTTCTAAAAAATATTAATAACATGATCCTTTTCTATAGATGAATTTGTGAAGGGTTAAAGATTTTTATATTATTTCTTGGTTTCTTATAAAATTCATTTTGTATTATTTTGTATTAATTTTTAAGTTTTTATAATTAGTAATGTTTGTATGAATTACATTACATAAGTAAATTTATATTTTAATTTAATTTAATAAAAAAGTACAATTTTACTCGCATATTAGTTTACAAGTTCCATGTTAAAGCTATTCATTGATATTATGTTAGTGTAGTTGTGATTTTACTTTTGGTTACTTTTTGTGTTAATTGTTAGATTTTAGGTAGTTTTAATCAATTCATGTAAGCAAATAAAAATCTATCAAAGCTAAAATTTTTAATTTACACACTTTTTGGTAATAAATTTTATTTATTTGTAGTAATCATAAAATATAAAATTCATTTTTATGTTGAAAATTTTGTTATCAAGTTATAATTAAATGTTGATGATGTTTGAGGTGCCTTTAATTTATTATTGGTTATACCATTTTTAAATTGTAATTATTATTTTTTCCCTTCTTGAATTCATTTATTTGTTGGATATATTAATATGTTATTTATATCTGTTATTGATTATTTGAGTAGTGTTGTATGTCACAGATATTAGTGTAATATATTTTTTAATTATTTCTTAATAATTTAATTGGAAAAAAATCATAGTGTATACTTTACCAAGCCATTTCTAAAAAAAATATAATATATATATATATACACACATATATGTATTGTATAAGATAATATTTTTTAATTATATTCTATCGAATTTCATTTAGATACAAAGATGAGAAAAAAAAAGTTTTACTTGTTATAATCTTTAATAAAGTTTTTCACTAAATCATTTATTTAACACAAAAAATGATTTATTTGTAAAAGGATGCAAAGATCTTTAATTTCATGTTATAATTTTTTATAATGCTAAAATTAAAAGTTTCATTCTATAATAATTTATAATTAATATTATCATTTATATTTTAAAAAATTATAATAAATAATTAATATTGATTCAAATAAAAATATTAAAAAAAGCTTAAGCAATAGGTGTTACTCATCCAAATTACTCGTGATTTTTTTATAGTTGATTTTATAATCATTTTAATTACAAAAAAGAATAAAAAGAAAAAAAATTGAGTAAAAGAAGTTTCGAATAGTAGTAACATAACACTCAAAAATATTATTTTTTTATTTGCTTTAAACACTCTACAAAATATATTACATTTAAACAACGAGTTCTAATTAAAATATCTTTTTTATGTTTAATGAAGCATATATTAAAAAATAAATATTTTAGGAAAGATTAAGAAATAATAGTATTTTTTATTATTTAATATTTACTCATCATTGTATTGAGTTTCAATAAATCTCTATTTTTCATATAAATATATTAAAATATTAATAGAAATAAATAAATATTGAAGTTCAAAGGATATTTTAATAAATATTTCTAAAAGTTTCAATTAGAAACTCTTTCATTACACATTCATATTATATTTAAATGATTGTTTGATGATAACTATGTGAATTTGAATAATATTTTTTTCATTTTTACAATTTTTAATTCAAGTATGATTGATTTACTAAAATATTTTTATTAAATTTATTTCTAAATTATGAAACAAAATAATAAAAATTATTTTTTTAATAAATGAATTGGGTAGTGTTTGGTTATATAAAATTTCACATGAAACCTAAATCTCTTAACTTTATTACATAAAATGCAACCATTTAACTTATCATTTTTAGACTTTTGGTTGCCTTACATTTATATAAACTTTTCACTTTTGATATTCTATGCATTTATAATATTCTTTTCAATTATTTTTGTTAAAATGTTTGTATACTTTTGATTTTCTTCATAACTTATGCTTTTCTTTTTATTTTCTTTTGATTATATAAGTGACATTAAATTTATCATTGGTTAGACAATTTTTAAATGATAATTTTTTTTCTTTTTAAATATATTTGTTTGTTTTTATTTTCATTTATTATTGATGGTTTGAGTAGTGATGTGAAACTACATGTAATTTGGTTTTTAGCCACATTTATAAACTAGATGTTTTAGTTTTATATAAAAATTAAATTATATAAAAATTAAATATTAGTTTAATTTGTATATTTTTAATTATTACTTAATCATATCATAAAAACCAATAGTGTGTAACTTGTTGAGCTATTTATATTAAAATATATATTGTATAAGATAATAATTTTTCAATTGTATTTGTCAAATTTCATGTAGATTTAAAAATAAGCAAAAGGATCCATTTATTGTAATTTTTAATAAAAATTTCATTTATTTGACACAAAAGAAATTGATTTATTTTAACGAATATATAAAAACTTTTCAATTTCATATTGAAAACTTTTTATAATGTTAAAAGAAAAGGCTTCATTATCTTAATAATTTATGGTTAACATTATTTATATTTTTTAAAAAATTAAAGCAAATATTTGATATTGATTCAAATAAATATATTAGAAGCAAAACTTAAAATATAGGTGTTACTCATGTAAATAAATCTTGATTTTTCTATAGTTGATTTTTTTTTTTTACATCATTTTAATTAAAAAAGTTGAACATTGAGTAGTTTTGAATTGATAACAAATAACCTAACACTAAAAAATATTATTTTTTTATTTACTTTATACTTCCAGGTATATATATACACACAAAAAAAAAAAGTATTAGGGGTTTAACGTAAAATGAATAAAGCTCATAGCTATCTAAATGTGTTTATTTATTTATTTAATTTTACTTATCAAAATAATTTTTTGTTAAAATAACGCCTTCATTTAGTTAATGAAAATAACTCTTTTCATTTTTTTTTTTATCATTGGTCCCTTAAAATACAAGTTTTTAGCGATATCATATATTTTAGAAAATACAAACATAAACAAGAAACAAAGTAAAAATATTATTATTTATTTGATTTAATATATTAAAAATAATTATTCTTCATTTTATTTCTCTGTAATGTTAGGTTTTCATATAATAAATACAAATATTAAATATTTTTATCTTTTTTGAGTATAAATTAGATTAAATAAAAATAATAATATGAAAAGTTAGCATATTAATTTCAATGTTTGTAAGTATTAATTTTTTTTGAATAAATTAACATAAAAAATAGAATATGATTGGTTAGCATATTTATCTATATTTATAATTAGGTTTCAAAAATAAATATGTTAATTAATGATGCATATATATTATATATTAAGTTGTTAGGATCTATTTGGTATGCAAGATTATGACATGATAGGATAAAATGATATTATAAATAAGATTAAATTAAATAATTATCATTTTATCTTATATTTGATATGTATAAAACTTAAAATAATATAATTTATTTATTGATCAAAATTATCTTTATTGAAGTTTATACAATTTAAATTATTGATGTAATTTATAAGAATATAATAAAACGTACAAATTCAATCTTATAAATTAAAAATAATCATTTTTATTTTGAGAGAATTGAATTATCTCATGTCAAGAAAAAGATATGATAATCATCCTATAATATTCATTATCTTATAAACCAAATATGACCTTAATTCATTATTTATTTGAAATAAAAAGTAAAATATGAAATGTTAGAATATTATTTTTTTATGTTTTCATATTTTAGTAATTAATGATTTTAAAATAAAAAAGAGAAAAATATGTAAATTAACTTTTCAAATTTTCATTATTTTCTACCAACAAAACAAATCAAAATGATAAGATAAAAAAAATTTATAAATATTATCGTATTAATTTCAATATTTTCACAATCAATTTATTTTTAAACCTTTTCATATTTTGAATTTAAGAAAAATGATAGAGATATGAAAAGTCACATAAAATATTATATTAATTTCAATAAAGGGATCAAATTATATAATTGTAAAATTATTTTTTTTTACACTTTTTTATAATTTCATAAATGATAAATATTTTTATAAATTGATCATTAAATTTAACAACCTACGTGTATCTATCATTCATGTAGAGTTTCAAGTTAATTCAATATTCTTATAATTTTAATCGAAAGTAATATCACTTATATATACTAATGATTAAAATTTTATTATTATAACACAAATAGATTAACAAATATTTTAAATTTACTTGAAATTTGGCAATACATTATTTACTTAAATACATCACAAAATTCAATGGTTGGATTAGTAAATATAAATTGCATAAAAAAATGAGATGGTTCAAAACTAATTTAGTTTTAAACATGTCTAAGTAAATCTCTCTTCAATTCTAATTTTCATATTTCTTTATTTAATAATTTAAAAATATATTTTTGAAAAAAATTACAAATTATCCTTATTTAAAAATTTTTTATATTCTGCTAATTACTTAAATTAAATTAATAGTAGAGAGTCGAAAAGTGATAAATCATTATTATATGAATTTCAATTTACACATATTTAATGAGTTAATGATTTAAAAATAAATCTTTAAAAATAAAGAATATAAATAAATTTTACTAATTTTTTATTTTTACCTTTTTTTATAAATTTTATTATTTCATTTGTCTTTAATAGCAAATTTTTTTAACATGATTGTTATTTTAATTTTTTAGTATTTTTTAATTTAATTTAATTTTTATTTTTAAAAGATTACTCGTGTGAAGGACCAGTCAAAAAACTTAATTTATTTAAAATTAAATTTGTAATATAATTATTAGGGTGCATCAGTAAATATTGGATTTAAATAAAACACCCCAAAAGCCTATGCAATCCTTTTCTCCTCTGAGTTCCAAGGTTGTACTTGTCTCCGACAGAAAACGCAGGCTATCAAGCTCATCAAGTGGTCTGTTCTCCTCCACTTTCAGCATCCCGTCTGTTGGCTTCAGCTTCGTTAATTTTTCAAATCCATGTATTTTTCCTATCCTTTAGTTCCATCTTCCTTCCCTTTATTGGTTTTCAACTGAAATGTCAAATGAAATGGGGGTGGTTTCATAGCTATTTATTGATCCCACACCAACACCGTATCATTTTACTTATCCTGTGTTTCTCTGTGTTGGGTACCTTGGAAATTGATCAATCAAATCACTAATAAATAAAACTGTCGACCTTTTGATTTGCAGAGGAAAAAGCAAAGATGCCCCACAGAACACGTCCTATGACGGCGCTGTTAGTGTTCACTGTCGTCAACGTTGTCCTGGTCTCAACCATTACTCCTGTCTATGATTTTGTCTGCTTCCTTCCTTACTGGGAAAGACGGGTTTGTTTCTCCTTACTTTTCTTGTTTCATTTTCTTGCCTGCAACTTTGTTTTATTGTTGTCATATGTTTCCGCCTCCTGATTGCTTCGAGATAAAATGGTCTTATCCATATGAAAATTATGGTGTAGCAGTGGGAATTTCAAGTTTGAAGTGATTTATTTGGCCATTGATGTGTTTGGAGGTCTTGTTTTGAAGGATACAAATGAAATGATTGCTTAAATGGTATTAGTATTTGTTGCAACCAGAAATCAAATGGGTAAAAGTTGGTTCCTTTGTCCTATGATGAAGTTGGATTTTGTCTTTCACAAGGTCGCTACTATTGTGCCTGTGACTGTTAGGACAATCTTGATGTGATAGAACTAGTTTCGGATTATCCTATATGTTTAATATCAATCCAAAGTCATTTTCTTCTACCATTTCTGTAGCATTATGGAACAATCAAACTGTATTATATCAGCATAATCTTTTATGTCTGATCAATTATCAATGCTTGAGTGAAAAAATAACTGAAGCATCATTGAATTGAGCTGCTCAAGAGATCTTTTCCGAGACTCAATCACACTGCAAATGATAAATTGTTATGCTACTACAAGTAATATTTATCTAACAATAGCAGGATTCTGTTGTTTGAGAATTTGGTTAATTGTGAGAACTCCAAAATCCAAATTACCATTTCTCTTCTTCTTTCACCTTCATTTCATAAGCATTGTTTCTGCTGGCTAATCATCTGAGAGATGACAAACTAAAATGGGCAATTATCACTGCGGTCTTATCTTTCCTTTTACGTTGAAAAAGTTTTACTTTACCACAGTCATATTGGTTTCTTTAGGATATTTGCAAATATGTAGAATGTAATCATACATTGTCATTTGATATATGGCTAATCATCTGAGAGATGACAAACTAAAATGGGCAATTATCACTGTGGTCTTATCTTTCATTTTAGGTTGAAAAAGTTTTACGATACCACAGTCATATTGGTTTCTTGAGGATATTTGCAAATATTTAGAATGTAATCATACATTTTCATTTGATATATGAGCCACTAGAGCATACAGAAAAATACTCACTCTCAATCTGTGTGAGATGCATGTGCATCTATACTCAACGTTCTCTCTATATACTTTAGTAAATCTGTTGTGAAGATTCTTTCTTTCCTTAGTTTTTCATTTCATAGTATACGATGATATATCAAGGTTCAATAGTACCATAATAAATTCTAGGAGCTTTTCCATAGGCAAATAATGCTCGAACTATCGAACTGGTACTAAATTTTGAATGTAAAATGTGGATTGTGTCTTGGTGGACTGCAGCTTAGATAATGTGGCCTCTTTTAGTAAGTTTGCATGCTTAGCCGGTACTATAACAAAACTTTTGGCTGAAGAAGAATAGCTTGCAAGCTAGAGAGAATGTGATGGTTATCTGTTCTATACGATTGGAGGACCTGATTGTATTGTATGGACAATTTTGAAGTGCAATCAAAATTGTCCACCAAAGATCCATTTTAGTTGTCATGCATCTGAGTGCAGTCAACTTTCTAATTCCTTTACATAGTTATACACTTAATACATGGTTCATGCAAGCAATTGGATTATGTTTTATTGGCTCTAGGTGAAGTGAATCACCAAAGAAACCATATAGAGAGAATGTGATTGCTATCAACTGAAGAACTGTATGCTTTTCTTACATGTTTTGTCATGTTTAGTTATCTATCTAAATCTTCTTGGTTTTCCCTTCATTCAAATTTGATTCAATTTTGGATTTTGGTCTGATGATGCCAATCAAACATATCACTTACCACAAACTCAACTAGTGTTGCACATTGTCATCAAATATGTACTGCCCATACATGGTTGATTTTTTCTGCATGTGTTTGGATGTGTTTGGTTTCTACCTAAGTCTTGTGGTTTTTTATTTTGTTTTGTTTCAGCGAGAACGGCGTCGTCTTGAGCATGAAGCTTTATCAAATAAATCTCAATCACCCTGAAAGATCTCTAAGATCCTCCTTGATAATAGGTTTCTTAATTAATGAGTACATTATCAAATGATTCACTCTAAGTGACAATTTTTCTTCTTGGAAATGAAGAAGTAGAAGTACCATAAGAGGTGAGAAGTCCTTTCCCCTTGCTTGTTTGTATTGAATTTCCTTAGCTGTAGATTGGAAACTGTCACTGTGAAAAATGCGAAATGCTATGTCAAAATTTTCACAAGACATCATGGATGCCATTAAAGTGGTTAAAATTATTAAGTTTGGGCTGCGCAGATGGTGTATGATTCAATGAAGTGTCGTAATCAAACATGAGACTTGAAATCTTAAGTTGTCAGATTTCTTGGAATCAAATGAGTAATGTCTTTAGCCTTATCAGTGTTTGGATCTCCCCTTAGATTGGGGATAATTGCATGGACAAATAATAAAAAAAAAAAAAGTTCAAGATTTTGAAGTTGAAATGACTTGATCAATCATAAACTTGTAATTCACATGGCTTCCTTTATTTTCAATTTTCTCAATGATTTGTATTGGTGGGTAGTTGGCATTGTAAGTTCTCAGATATTGTACCATTTTTTCCTTAATAATATTAAAAGTTGCAGCTTATGTAAACTTGTCTTTGCCTATCTCTCGTAGAGTTGGACAAGAGTTAAAGATACATAAAAAAAATTTAAAATAAAAAGGCAACAACAACAACAACACAAAAAGAGAAATCGATATAAGCAGAAGGTAAGAGGGATTATGATAGGATGGTTGGCTCTTATCTGTCTTCTATTACTACATGCCACTATCATCATCTTATCTTTAAATTCTTATTAATTTATTTGTCTTAATAGTAATCGACTTAAATACCATTAAAAATTTTTAAATTAATAAATTTATCTTTAAATATAAAATTTTTATTAATTTATTTAAGTTTAATTTAAATAAATTAAAATTAAACTACTTAAAATTTTAATTCCAAAAGTATTAAAAGTAATTGACTAAAATATTTTCAGTAAATGATTTTATAAATTTTAATGTAAATTATTTTTTTTACTATTAAACTTTATTTTATAATTAAAATAAAAATATTAAAAGTGATTGATTAAAATATTTTTTTTAAAAAATTTAATTCCAAAAGTATTAAAAGTAATCAATTGAAATACCATTAGTGATTTTTTTATAAATTATAATTTAAATGACTTTTTTATAATTTGACTTTTTTTTATAAGTAGAATAATTTTTTGCATCAAATAAAAATAAAAATTTTATTAATTTATTTATGTTCAATTTAAATCAATTAAAACTAAAATAAGAGTTTATGTGAAATTAGAATATTTAAAATTTTAATTCCAAAAGTATTAAAGTTGATTGACTAAAATATTTTTAGTAAATTTTTTTTTTGTAAATTTTAATTTAAATGAATTTTTTATTATTATATTTTTTTATAATTAAACTAAAAACGTGTTAAAAGTAATTGACTAAAATATCCTTAATAAATTTTAATTTCAAAAATGTTAAAAGTGAGTGATTAACATATTATTAGTAATTTTTTTAAAATTTTAATTTAAATGACTTTATTATTAAACTCTTTTATAAGTAGAATGATTTTTCACATCAAATAAAAATATAAATAAAATGAGATCAAAATTTAGTGCGCATAAAATAAAATAATTATATAAAGTTTGTTTTTTTAGTTGTTGTAAAAACAATTGTATATATATATTGATGTTGATAAATAAATTCATTAAAGATAATTATAATTAAGTCATTAAAACATGGTATTTTTCTATTTTTTACGTTTTAATTTTTTGTTTTAATATATTAACTATATGTGTTAATGATTTTATTATTTATAGGTTTTATGAGTTGATCATTTGATCAGATGACATAATTAAATCTTTTTAATTCCTTGAAATAAATATATCAATCTTACAATTTAGTCTGACTTTTATAATTAATTTCTCTCTTGTATTTTTTCTTATGAGAATTTATAATTGTTATTTCCATGAACAAAAACTAATATCAAATTAAATGTAAATCAATTGCACTCTCCACCAACAATTAGTATTATATGATTTATTGAACACTTTAATTTAACTTTTCACTTGTAAAATTGGATGATTTAGGAGGTAATGGAGTTACCAGTAGCTCAGGATTGAGTCCTATTAAATCGTCGTGAGAATTGTTCACCTTGATTTGAATAATAATTAATTTAATTTTTTCTCAAATTTTATCTAAATATGCATGTATATGACTAATTTATATGTCAAAATTATTTAATCTTTCCTAATTTTATTAAGTTGCTTGCTTTTTTTTTGTCATTCAAGTGGTTGAACAACTTAAAATGAATTATTCTAAGTAAAAATGATCAAGTGAACTAAAATTAATTTTTTTTAGTGAATTCTCTCAAGGTGTGACAAAATTTATTAGAATTATCTTTTGAATATATTTATATCAAAGTTAAATTCATTCATGAAAATTTATATTGTTAACACTAAAAATGAAATTATTATAAATTGTATAGGTATTACATAATAAATTTGTTATTTTGAGACCTAGACTTTTCTTAAGAAAACATAACAAGCACCAAGATTAGTATTTTATTTTATTTTTAAAATTATGTATTTAAATATTTTTATATAATAAAAATTTTGTATAATAATTTTGTTAAATAAAATAAAATTTAAATATTTAATTGGTAGAATACAATTTCATTCAATTGATAGAGGCAACAATGGAAGATTATTTTAAGCTAAAAATGAGGCTAAAGTTGATTAGCTATGCATAACTCTATCTTCTCTATATGACAAAAAGATTAGTACGATATGATATTTCAATAAAAAATATACAAATATATTGATTTTAAATTTCTTTAGTATTAATGAGAAACTCTTTTATTTGGAGAAACAATGTAAACTCCTTCATTTTCTCATTTATATATGTTGAAAAATGTTTATTGTTATATCAATTTTTTAAGGTTGTCATATTAGGTAATGTTTGTTCAAAAGAATTTAAATTCATCAAATTAATTATCATTCTTACATTTAATATAAAAATATTATTATAAATTATAATTTAATTAAACTTAAAAGTGATTTAAGGGCATTTATTAGTAAAATTTATTTGATAAATCTTTATTTAATTTTATATTTAGTATTTCAATTATTTTAAATTTTTACTTTTTTATAATTTTGAGTTAGATTTTAGAATCAAGATTAGCAATAAATTAGGTTAAGTCAAGTTTTATTATCTACTTATATTCATAGTGTACTTAATTATTCACTTATGTACATGAGTAAATTTAACTTAATAATTGGTATATGCTTCTTTTTATTTAAAAAACTAAATCCTAATTGTCCTAAATCTAAATAACAAAGAAGTATACTTAAATACTTATAACTGTAATTTTACTTAGAAATACTCTAAGAATTAATTAATTAATTCAACCACAAAATAATAAAAATAAGACATTGAAGATAAAGGGTAAAAAGGTTTAAATAAAAAAAATTTAAATTGTTATAGAAGATGAAAAAGAAATATTAAATTTTGATTAGGATAATATTTCAACTCGGATTTTAATTATGCTCAATCATTTCAGATTTTAAATAATTAATAAGGTATTAATTTTTTAAAATCAATTGAAATATAGTCAAGTTAGTTCAATTTTATAATTATGTGTATTATATTATTTTTTTAAATAAGTAAAAATTTATTTTTACTTAATTTGAGTTTTGATTGTTTCAAGTTTGAGTTGATTAATTTATGTTATTTTAACTATATTTTTACGACATAGGTAATAAATTTTAAAATAGAATGAGAACATAATACAATGAAAATTAAAGTGCAAAAGTGATGAAAAAATTAATGATAATTCTAGAAGAAAATCCTTGTGCTCAAGTCTTGCAAAGACTAAAGATATATCTTCTTTTGAGGATTTTGAAATTTGTATTACAAAAATGTTAATTTATATCCATTTTCTTATAATCGTTTAATTATTGATTAAGTTGCTGCTATATTGGTTGAAAAAAACAATTAAAACATTTTATTTGAAAGAGATATCATAATTCATACTCATTTAGGAAGATAATATAGAGTTAAACATTATTTGGGTTATTATGACCTTTTAAAATATTGTTTACTCTTTCAAAATGGAAAAGTTGATTGACATCAAAATAAAAATAAAAATAAAAGTTATTTAGAATGATGGTAATAAGAATGAAGTAAAAATAAAAAATATACCATCTTTTCCTTAAGTAGAAGAAATTTTTTATAAAGAATGCGAAAATAATTATTGTAAATTTAATATTTTTTAAAATTATTTGTTGTTTAAATTTTATAAATTTTATTTAGTAAATTTGTTCTCATTACTTTTATCATATATATAACAATTTTTTAATCTAAAATTATATACTTAAAAATAAAAACGTAAGGTAAAGTTTCTTACTTTCATTGTTGAGAGAATACTTTAAAATTTTCAATATTTTTATATGTAATTATATTTCGTTAACATGTATAAAAATACATACACTAATAATTCAATCAAATCATCAATAAAGCTTAATCTTAATATTTACTATTTTTTCATGAACTAAAAAATTTGAAGAATATCTTAGAAATATTAACTTAATTATATTGTATATATTTATTTAATTTAGTTTTAATACTTACATTAGTATAAAAAGTTATGATTTGAACTTATTATTATGTGTTAACCTATGGATAGTAAATTAAAAATATTTACTTATACTTTTGAAGTCATTTACACTTGAATTTTTTTATTGTTTCTTTCTCTAACTTACAAATTACATCATCTAGTATACATCATAGTTACTTTCTTTTTTGGATATATATGAATTAATAATAACATAGTAGTAGGTAATTAATAACGTAGCAATTAATCTTTGAAAACTTAAATGTAATTAGTATAACTTAATAGTAAATGAATGATAATTTATTAGTCAATAATTAATAATTTTTTAGTAAATCAGTAATAATATAATAATAAATGCATAATGTCTTAATGGTAAATCAATTATAATATAGTTGTAAATGTACAACAATACAGTACTAAATCAAGGATAATTAATAAAAAAAAGTGATAACTTAGTAATTAATTATTGATAACACTGTAATAAATCAATGATAATTTAATAGTAAATTAGTTTCAATTTATAAGTAATTAATTGATAGTAATAAATTATAAATAACTTAGTAGTAAATCAATGATAAATTTGTAATAAATAATTAATAATCTAATATGTAATCATTAAAAATTTAAAAGTAAATAAATATAACTTAGTAGTAAATTATTGATAAAATAATATTTAATCAGTGATAACTTAATAGTAAATTATGCATAATTTACTATAAGTCAATAATAACTTGGTATTGAATAATAGATAATTTAGTAGTAAATTGGTGATAACTTTATAGTAAATAATTGAAAATTAAGTAGTAAATCACTAATAACATAATAGTAAATTACTAATAACGTAGTTGTAAATCAATAATAATTTAGTAGTAAATTAGTTAATCATTAATAATTTGTTATTAAATCATTGGTAAATTAGTAGTAAATTAATTATAAATTTATAATAAATCATCAATAACTTAGTGATAAATCACTAACAATTTGATGATAAATTATTCATAACTTAATAGCAAAACATTCATAATTAGTAGTAAATCATTGATAATTTAGTAGCAAACCATTAATAGCTTAGTAGTAAATAACTGATAACTTAATTGTGAATCATTGATAACTTTTTTTATATTTGAAGTTGCCAAGGATTGAACCTTGATTACTAGCAGAAATGAAATCAA